GTGGGAGGGGCGGGACTTCCGGAGTCTCGGGACCAATCCGCGCCAGGCTCGTCTGAGTAATAGCCGGGGCGGCGCGTGACGTGAGAGGGCAACGTCAGGGCGCGGAGGGGGTGCGGGGAGACGCGGAGAGAAGGGGACACGCTCGCGGGGACTGGGCCGAGGGGAGGGCACGAGGGTGGGGAAGGGGAGAAGAGGGGGCGCGGGGAGAGGGGCTGCGCGAGTGGCGCAGAGGAGGGGACTGGGGAGGAGGGGCCGATGACAGCAGGGACAGCCTGAAGGGCAGGAGCCCCGGAATCCCGACCCGCGCGATCTGCAGCCCGCGCAGCCATGGGCAAACCCGCGGGACCGCAGCTCCCCCGCTCCCGGTGGACCCACACCCGGCTTCCGGGGCGCATCTTTGGGGGTGGGGGTGGAGACGAGGATGGACCAGTCCCTGCCTGGACACGTGCTCGAAGAGGGTGCGGATGTCCGTTCACAAACTGAGTGCAAGGGATGTGAACCGTCAGTCGGTTTCTCAGTAGTTGAACTCGGTTTCAGTTCATGCCTTTATTTTGTTACCCTGCCTGCAATTCGAAATTCTGTTTTTCTGGAGTTGTGCCCATGTGATTCAGAGATGTTGAACATATACAATTTGGGGTAGGCCTTTTTAAGAAAAAAAATGATAAAACCAAAATTATATAAATATTTTTGTACATTTTACATAATATATAAATGCCATTACAATAATCCTGTAAGTTATTTTATGACAATTTTGTATGAGAACTCAAATTATAAATTTAAAAAATTGACAAATGCCACAAACATCATAAAATTTAGAAAAGTAACATTTGTACGAATTAACGAATGAATCGGCACCATCCGTCTCCATAGGTTCACTGAAGGTCTGTTCCCTTTAATAACTCCATTATCCCCAGCCCTTAGCAGCCACCGTTCTACTTTCTGTCACTATGATTTTAGCTATTCTAGGGACCTCATATTAGTGGAACACTACAGGATTTGTCCTTTTATGACCGGCTTCTTTCACTCAGCACAAGAGTCATCCATGTTGTAGCAGGTGTCAGAATTTATTTTCTTTCTAAGGCTGAGTGATATTCCACTGTGTTGACCACTTTGGCATAGCTGATGGATGCTACAGTCGCTTCCACGTTTAGCTATTGTGATGTTGCTATGAGCTTGGGTGTACACAGGTCTCATTCAAAACCCTGCTTTCAGTCCTTTTGGGTGTATAACCAGAAGTGGAATTGCTGGATCATAAGGTAATTTGATTTTAAAATTTTTGAGGAACCACCATGCTTACTTTTTAAGGGTATAGTTTATAAGTATTCCATTGTCTGCTAACTTCCATTGTTTTCAACATGCAGTCAGCTGTTCCTGTCTCTCTCTCTCTCTCTCTCTCTCTCTCT